GAATCCTCTGCCGGTATGGGGGAATTTAAATCCGTCTCAATGTCTACCACATCGTCGCCAGTATCCTCGCCCAGGACATCACTCAGGCGCCAGGGCTTCCGATCGACAGTCTGAAATTCGGGTTTCTTGGATTTAGCTGAAGTAGTCTGCCTAGGCCCCTGATTGACTTCTCGTTCGTGATAGGACGAAGATGATTCATTTGGAAAGTTCGATCTCAGTGGTCTTTGAGGAGAAGAGGAAGAACCAAGCCCCACACTGCCCACTGAATCACGAAGGCTATGCAGCAACTGATAACACTCGTCGTGACCATTCAGTTTAGCTATTTCTTCTGCCGTGTGTTCTGTTAAGAGAAATAGCAATATAGAAAAACTTTAAAACAGACAAAAGAAGTGTGTTTAAAAAATATTCGCGTAATTAAGTAAGTTTGCACAGACAGTATGTACATTTTGGAAAAAGATCGCTGAAGTAGAAAAGCTGTGGAAAAACATAGTTGATAAATATCCAAAAAATGTAGTGAAGATTTTGTGACACTTAGTGTTTACATGTCGGAGAACAGTAAATGTTGAGGTCCAAGTACATGCTGCTTTCGAATCTTCTTTATTCATTTTATGATTTCCCGAGTCATTCTTATTTGCTATAGCATAGGTAGATATTTAAATTTTTAATCTGAAGCTCGAAGTTATAAGCCCGACTGAGAAGGCGCTAACTGGTCTTCTTATTTCATAATGATATCCACTGAAGGAAGAGCTAGAAGAGGCTGCTGATGGAACATTGCTTATTGTTCATGAAACCTGTGACTTTGAGGCTATTGGTATTTTTAAACCCGATGTGCATCCTGCCAAAAACTGTTTAAATAAATCAAAAGAAACTCGCACAAGGCAAAAAATATTTTCCAAATGCCGGGTAAGCTTGAATTTGTCATTCATAAGCACGTTGAAGAAATCGATTAAGACAAACGTCAAGCTGACTTTATACATATAATTGTAGCGGTTTGGTAAGGATTTACCGAAAACATATGTATGTCAATTGACTTTTCAGACTTTATGCTGCTTTCATGCAAAGGCATAGTTAAACTAGCACTCACGTTCTATTTATTACCATTTTAGTTATATTCTCATTTTTTTGCAGTCTCGTCCGTTATGTACCCTTACAGTTATACTTATTTAAGTGACTTCTAATATGGCTGTGTCTAAGATTCTAGCTTTTGGTTAATTATACGTTTTTGTAAGTTAGTAACCATTCATTTTGTTAAATCAACCTCTGCCTTTAAAAAAACGTTGGGTCTTTACAGCTATAAAACTTCGAGAGTCTCCGCGTGAGCTGCCCTGCTTGACATGGATTTCCTTAGAAACCCCATGATTTTATATGAGTTTAAATATTTACTGCTGCTATAAATCCATGAAGTGCTGTAGGTATAAGAGAAATTAATTGCAGGTCATTTCGGCCGAAAATGCCGTAAATCCTTCCTAATTTTTGATTCTCATTATGGCAAGTGAAGTAATGGCTTATTTCCTCTGTTATTATAGAAAGTGGTCACCCAGACAAGACATGCTAGCTACAGGGAAAAAGACTGTTATTTTTATTACGGAAAACATGATCAATTGCATAAATAATTGCATCTAAGTTTTCAAAATTCCCATCAGAGACTTAAGCAGAGCAGTTGGCGAGGATGCGCAAATTTTCGATAAATTCGCATCAGGCCATTACATTTATATGGCAACAAGGTCAAAAGCAAAACACGAGGTCAATTAGGTTTGGTCATTTCATTAAAGTGAGTCACGGGGAAAGGGGAGGGCTTTAAAACAGACGGCTGGACCGACTAAACCAAACCCTCACTGCCGCTGAAACAACCTCCTCTTATCGACCCAAGCTCCCTCCCTATTCAAATTTTATGAATTGTAAGCAGAAGAATGAGATAGGATATTCCAAACCCGTGAAAGGTTAAAACAGGTGTCTTTCAAATCAAATGCAACGTGCTTGCGCTCCCGTTTTTCCACAAAACATGAAAATGTATGTGTTGGGTTTCAAAGTTTATCGACTGAGCACAAAAGTATGAGCCCAATCTGTATTGCAGGGGGACTTCCGTTAGAGTTTAAGACAGAGGGAGTTAAATTTATGATTAGAATTGAATTGGGGTTTAGAGGGCTTAGCATTAATGCCAGTCACATTTAGGACACATGAAAAGGCGCTTCCGTGGAATGTTGTGCAAGGTCACCCTTATCATTGTGGAGAGGGACATATTCACATGTCCAACCCCATTTAGCTTTCATATGCTAATGAAAGAGATGAGGCAATACAGTTACTAGCTGGAAGACTCTCAGAGAGGATTCGGAGGTGCAATATATTCTTGCTAAAATATGTGAAGGGTATACGAGTGAGATCAAAGAGAAGGTAAGAATTTTTGAAAAATAGCACTTGAAGTACATTGTCTGAAGGAGACTTATAAAGCACAGGCCTTAAGTTCCTCAACTTTCCGTAATAAGGAAAAATCAGAAATTGCTCGGCAACATAAGTGTCAACGTCGCGAAATCGAAATCACAAATATCTTACAAATCTCCTTAGAGGGGATGTTTGTCCTTTTGGAAGGAATCAGAGCAGATCAACCCTTTGGTCGAACGGATTAATTGAACTCCTCATAAAAACCGAGAGCAACCTGATTATTGACGAAAATTTGGTTTAACATCTTGGGTTCCAGAAATTATTGAACACATTAAGACTTACTACTAAATTGAATCAAGTAGAAGTAATGTAAGCGAAACGTGCGTAGCTCGGCTTCCCGACGGTTCGAAAACGATAACATCGAAAACGATAACATCTGCAAATGTTTTTTGATAAAGGGTAAGAGGCTGCCAAT